AGGAATGCTGCAGAGCTTTTCAGTCTTCTTGAAGTACATGACTTTTATCTCCAAGTAGCCCTAACTTGCTGTGCTTTTATCATTCTTCCTGTGTTTTATAGTTCTTATGTGGCCTTTGCAGCCAAATGTCATTTCCATGGCTGTCAGTGTCTATGGGCTGCTTCTGATCTACTGGCCTATTTTGCCTACATTTGTCAGCAAGACTCAGATTATCTACAGTTAAAATGCAGAATTTAGAACAGCTATTTTTCTCAAAGCTACTTGGAAGTCCTTATGTATTTTTTTATTTTTTGATTTACAAAAGTTATAAGTAAGTAATACGTGTCATTATACATGGTGTAGAAAAATAAGAAAGTATAAGCAAACAAGAATTACCTTTTATTCTTACCCAGAAGTGGATTTATTAATAAATGGGTTTGTCCAGCTTGCTTGCTTTCTTTTAGACAGGGTTTCACTTATTCTGATCCTCCTATTTAAGCCTTCCTAGTAGCTGGAATTACAGGCATTCCAGTACCTGGAATTACAAGCATTGCCTCTGCTCTTTGGGTTGGGCCAGAGTCGAATCTGGCTCTCTCATCTTACCAGCTTTCATGTGCTCACTATGCCTGGGCCAGCATTTTTCAATCCCCCCCTTTTTTTGTATTCTTCCTATTAGTATTTTAAAATGCCTATATCTTTTTTGTCCTGAGAAAATAAATGCATAGCATCCCTTCCTATGATCCCAACATTCTGGTATCCTATGTTAGCATCCCTTACAGAACAATTGATTGAAAGAATACTTGCTTTCTCTTCTTTTTGGTTTGACATCTACCCTTGCTAGGCTCTGAAAACTACCAGGATCACTAATGACTGTGCTGTTGCCACATTCAGTAGGGGCATTTTCAGTAGTTACCTCATTTTGGTCCCAGGCAGCATTTGGTTCCTCTTCCACAGGCTTCCACCAGACCTTTCTCTTTCCTGGTTTTCATTATGTTTCTTTGGCCACTTATTAGCAGACTCCTCTCTACCGAGGGCCTATTTCTCAGGCTGCACCTTCCTAGAAAAAGTTATTAACTCTCATGGTTACAGTAACTTTTTTTTTTTTTAATTAACATTTATTCATTCATTCATTCATTCATTCATTCATACAGAGAGAGAGAGAGAGAAAGAAAGGAAGGAAAGCTGCCAGGTCCAGGACTGAAACTGCAGTTGGTCATGTAGGGGTCCAGCACTTTAACCACCACACCACCTGCCAGCCCCAGCAACTTTCAAATCTTTATCTTTGGCTCATGTTTCTTCTGAGTTTCAGATCTGTTTATTTCAACTTCATAGTGGACTTAACTGTTCCATAAATAATCTCAATATGTTCCGATACAAACTCATCTTATACCTTTTAGGTATACTCTTTGTGGCCTAGTGACTGATATTTACTGACGATGTTTATGTAAGTTAGGAACCAGTTTCGTGATTGATTCTTCCATCTGCCTCACCTCTCACATGTGATACTCAACAAGTACTGCCCGTTCTTTCTGCAGAATATCTCTTGAGTCATTATTCTCCATTGCTAGTACTAACATGGTACTAGGTATGGCCCATTCCAACCTTGCCTTGCTGTTGGCCACCTGTAATTGACATCTATCTGATCTTCCAGTTTTGTCCTCTTTGTCCTGATTCATTTTCCACCCTGTATCTACAATGATCTTTCTTTTTTTTTTGGGGGGGGAGAGGTTTTTGCTATAGGGCGTGTGCACTTGCCAGACAGGCAGAGAGAGACATAGAGACAGAAAGCGAGAAATCACCCCCCAGGGGGGATGGTCACGCTGCAATCCCTTCTCCTCCATTCTCCTCTCGGGATCTTGGGCACGCACGCACACATGCCAGGCGTGAGTTTTAAGCCACCAGGTCCAGGACGCGAACCGCGGTCAAATACGTGGGAGTCCAGTGACATAGCCATTACGCTAACTGCTGGTTCCCTACAATGATCTTTCAAAAATTAGTTTAATCATTGCTCCTCTTGAATGGCTACCTTCACCTGTAGAATAAAATTTGAATTTCTTGCCTTGCGTTTCAAGGCCTTTGTGAAACTGGTCATTGCATAGCTCTTAGGCTCTACCCTCTCTTCTACCTCCCTCCCTCCATTCCTGCATGTTCCCATCTACAGTTGTACTGGAGAATGCTGTCTGTTGTCTAAGCTGCCTTGTACTTGCTTTCTCCTTTGCTTAACTTTATGTTCTTCACTGTTTCCATTTAGCATTTGCTAAGCCAGGCTTTGTCATCCTTCAGGTTTTCTTTAGCTTAGTTGGTCATTTCATCATTTTTTTCTCCTTTTCTGGCCTAGATTCTCTTGGTGAAATTACTGTGTACTTTAGTAGCAGCATACACAGAATACATTTCCTATTTCATGGCAGTTATCATGTTTTTGGTCTTGTGACTCCTTTACATTCTTAAGGTACATTCTTTGAGGACTTGAAAGGGCTTTTGTGTATGTGGGCGATATCTACCAGTATTTACTGAACTACAAATTAAAGCTGGGAAATATAAAAAAATTATTTTAAATTTATAATAATAAAACTGTTACATTAATATAGTTTTTTTAATAAAAATATTTTTGTGAAATAAGGTTTGTGAAATTATAGAAATTTATGGAATTGTTAAGTACACAATTGTGTTGAACAAGAAATGTCATTTTGGGTTTATTTATTTATTTATTTTTTTGGAGAGATTTTCACTATAGGGCACGTGCACTTGCCAGACAGACAGAGAGAGACATAGAGACAGAAAGCGAGAAATCACCCCCCAGGGGGGATGGTCACACTACATTCCCTTCTCCTCCATTCTCCTCTTGGGATCTTGGGCACACATGCACGCGTACCTGGCGTGAGTTTTAAGCCACCAGGTCTGGGACGCGAACCGTGGTTGACTACGTGGGAGTTCAGCAACATAGCCATTACGCTAACTGCTTGTTCCCGGGTTTAATATTTTTCGTGTGATGTCACAAGAGTATAATTCTCATTTGGGCTTAGTTAATGTTGAGGTAAAAGGAAATAAATTAGTTTTTATCTTGGATTTTTAAAGTAAGATGCATGTATATAGGGATGTATAAATAAATGTAAACTGAAATATTGTTTTACATTCTAAATATATTATTTTACATTTTATACATTTGCTTATTAACCAAGTGACATGGCAAACATTATTTTCTGTTTTTTCTACTTCACCAGAAGGGATGAAAATACATTGTCCCTGTTTATTTGTTGTCAAGGAAGTAGTTTAGGAAAAATTACACAGGAAATATTTATTCCAAAAAGGCCATTAGATAACACTTAGGAGAGCTTAGTTTTTCGTAAATGCTTGCCAGAAATACACTGACCGTGTATTCATTGTGGACCCAAAAAGTACAAAGTGGCAGTGAAGCAGGAAAAAAAGAAATAGCATGAAGCACAGCTTACTAATTATGTGTTGTCTGGTTCCCATGAAAGCTTTAATTAGAAAGAAAAGGAAGAGATGTGCTTATTACAACTACAAGTTCAGCATATATGACTTATCATTATAGTGGATCACCATGCTATCTGACCCACGCTTAAAAATCCTAGAGGACAAACACATTAATTATGGCCTTCCTCAGGTTCTTAACTTCACTTTTCATCTTAATCTGCTTTGAAGCATTCATTCTTTTTTTGTCATGACAAAAAAAAGTAATAGGAATTTTTTTACAATATCTTATTTACATTTAATCATTAGACATCTCTCTGTACATCTAGCACACAATATGGTTTTTCAAAACATTCATGCAATACATGAAAAATCAAGAAAATTATCATAAACATCATTTTCAACCAAGAACTTTACATCCTTGTGTCTGTGAAGTATTTCTTTTTTGAGTTCCTCCCACTCACCCTCTACTATTCATCCCCACCCCCACACAGTCACTGATATCTACACTTGTCCTTCCTACTACTGGGTTGTTGGGAAAATCATGATGCAGTTTCACATAGAAAAACTTAGAAAAATACATCATGACTTTTTCGATAACCCAGTATAATGTTATGTCTTCATATCTCTGCATTTCTGCTGTAAGGGGGCAGACATTCAGTATATATTGAGGCTTTGAAACCGTTAGATGTTTATTTCTCCTTTGAACTTCAGACATAGATTTCCTTACATTACCTATACAGGGCATCTAATGTTAGTGCTATGTGTCTGATACATTTCAATGATGTTTTGAATGGAGGCAAATGAGAAAAATGGCCCTGACACCAGCGTATAGTAAGTAGCTCTTCTGTGGGACAGAGTGCTAGTGAAGCACAATAGCTTTCGTTTGTGTCAGTGGGGCGACGCTGCAGCTCGACACCACTCCCTGTTGTAACAGAGAATGACTGTGTTGTGATTTAACATCTTTTAAAGAAAGGGGTACTAGGTGATAGTAAGTTTTGTACTTTGTCTTTATGTGGTTTTAGTGGTTAGTAATCTTTTTTTTTTTTTTTTTTTTTTGTGGAATATATAGTCTTCCTTTAGAGGGAGGAACAGGATAAGCCCGCACATTTTACACATTTGCTTATTAACCAAGTGACAATAAACTCATTCCTGTAAGAATATGTGTTAAATTCTATGTGCCAGAAACCTTGGCATATTATGGGATGAAATATTTTACTCCTCTTCTTCCTTTTAGCACAACATTCTGAAATTTTTTGGTCATTGCAACGATCTTGATCGGGAGATGAGAAAATGCTTGAAGAATGAGGTAAGTAAAATATCAAAGGATGGAAGTGGTCAAACTATAGAACAGAACATTTTAGAACAATATTATATACTGCTGTTGTTAATTCTTTTCCCCAGTTTTAGCGTAATGGAGAAAATTGACCTCATGTGCATCATCTCTGAAACCAAGAGAAATGAAAACATCCTTGGGGACAATTTTAGACCATTGATTTTTATTTGTTTTATAATGCACACAAACAATGCTATAATCACTGTAACTCATTTGAATGAATTTTAAGGTTTGGGAAATCAAATCTGTGGTCAGCGGAAAGATGTCAGTCAGTGATTAGCTGGATTATCAGATGGCTACAAGTCTCAGAGCCTCAGTTTCCTTATATAAAATGAGTAGGCTAGACTTAAAATGATAAGGCTCTTTTGAATTTATTTTTCTTTCTTGTGCTATGTATAAGCCTTAAGGATTTCATTTGATTTTTGAAGCCGCCTTTTTGTTTTTAAGAGAGAGAGATTTTTTGCTATAAGGCACATGCCCTTGCTGGAGAAATCATTCCCAAGGGAGAGTGGCCACACTGCAGTCCCTTCTCCATTCTCCTCTCAGGATCTTGGGCACATATGCTTATGAGCGCAGTGTGAGTTTTAAACTACTGGATCTGGGTCTTGAACGATAGTCGACGATGTGGGAGTCCAGCAACATAACCATTATGCCATCTGCTGGTCCTGGAACTGGTTTTAGGCTATAACTTTTGCTTAGGCAAATCACTGAGTACCTACTTTATTATCTTTTCCCAGATACTGCTAACCAGAGTGCATTTAAACCTTCAAAGAGAAATTTATTTCCATTTTTATTTTGTAAATCAGATGTCTTATGTGCAGAAACTTTTAGAATATAGAACAACTAAAAATCTGCCTTATAATCTTCATTTTTGGTATTTTTGAACTTTTTTTTTTTTTCCCTCAGATTAAAAGGCTTAAGATTTGATTCTGTCCTGCCTCTATCTAGCTTCCTTTTTGTATTTTCCATTCTGAGACTTTTTTCCTTCTTGGAATCCCTTTTCAATGTGACACTCATATCTATTGTTCTAAGAATTTTCTGGAGTTCTGAGTTAATGATAATTTTCCTTGTTAGCACAAAGATGTCTTTTTCTTTTTTTTTTTTTTTTTTCTTTTTTTTTTGGCAACAGGGTGTGTACCTTTTGGAGACAGAAGGATAGACAGAGAGAGAAAACTAGAAAGCACCCCCTATGGGACATGGTCACACTGTAATTCCTTCTCCATTTTTCCCTCCATTATGGGCACACATGCACATGTGCCTGGCATGTTTTTCAGGCTGCTGGGTTCAGGACTTGAACTGCATGGTTGGCCAGGTGGGATCCAGCCACCTTAAACACCAGGTCATGTGCTGGTCCAAACTTTGGAACAGGTATAGAACCACCTACCAATTAAATGGCTACACCTCCAGGTGGTGAGCTCCTTATAACTAGAAGTGCTCAGCAGAGGTTAGAGGACTTGCTAGACTGTGAGCTCCTAGAGAACAGGGACAGAACTCATACATTTTAATATTTATTGAATTCATACTTTGGAAAGAAATTGACTCAGCGGGTATTTGTGCATGTATTAGGATGTACTCTGTACTGTAACAAATGGAATTGTACTAGATATTCTCTGAGGTCACTGTTTCCAGTCTCAGAGTCCGTGAAAAAGGAGACAAGTAAGAATTTGGTCAGTAAGAAGATATTTTGTGAATATTTCTAAATATTCAACTGATTTAACTTAACTGATATAATTGATGATATAACCTGTGTCTCTTCTCTCCCTCCTTTTTCCTTTTATTTTCCAGTACATTGTAAAGAGGACTAAGAGCAGGGAGCATGGCGATGCGATGCGAAAGAAACTCTTCAATCCTCCAGAGGAATCTGAAAAATAAATGATATTTTCTCTGAATGCCTTGACTGAGAGAAGACCTAGACTCTTGTTGATAGCCGAAAGAATTCTGTGTTATTTGGTCTCCAGTCCTTTGAATGGAAAGTGACCCATGAGAAATTGAACCACAGAGAAATATGTAAACCCTGGATTCTGCCATGTTTCTTCCTTTTATTTACAGCTAGTTAACATTTGAGTAACTTATCTCTCTAAATAAAATAATTTTAATTACTTTTTTCCCATTTCTCTTAAACTCTACTGGAATTAGGGCAGAGTGGCGTTATTAAGTATTCCTTTTTCACACGTGACAATTCTGAGGCTTCAACATTGAAAACATAACCTAGGGCAAAAAAGAGATCTGGGGACATCCCAGCCATTTTAATAACTATATGATAATGTTCTAATTTTATTCCTTTTAAAGAGCTCTTTTCTAAAAGGTTAAATGTTTATAATTAACATTGATAACATTGCATTGGTTGGGATTTAGGTTTTAGCAAATGTTGCTTTCCTGTTTAGTTGAATATGCCGCCATGGGTGCCAGTTAACTCCTGGGCATTAACTTTAGGTTAACTCCTGGGCATCAACTTTAGGCCTGTGTGTCTCCTGTCTGCTGAGTACAGAGCTCTACTCACACTCAGTGCTGGTGGTCATCTACCGGTGATCCTTTTGCTGCTTATTTCTGAGATATGTGACAATCTGAAAGTCAGAAGTGACAATCTGGAAGTCAGAAACTTCCAGCAATGCAAACAATAGGGCCTTGGTCTTTTTTGTCAGGAAAGGTGTTGAGAGGGGCCAGTAGGTGCTGTGGTTAAGGCGCTGGACTCCCACATGGCCGACCATGGTTCAAGTGCTGGGCCCAGTGGCTTGAAACTCATGCTGGGCACATGTGGACGTGTGCAAAATCCCAAGAGGATAATGGAGGGGAAGGGATTGCTGTGTGGCCACACTCCTGGGAAGTGATCTCTTACTTTCACTGTCTCTCCAAAAAATGAAAAGATGTTGAGAAACAACTGTGATCTGTAAGTTCCTTCCATGGAATTCTGTACATGATTTTTAGCATGAGGCCTTTTTGGTATCTGTGTTTAGCGATTTCCTCATTACAGGAGGTGTTTAAGAAACTGGGCTTCAGGGTTAGCAGATGGCATAGTGGTTACATTGCTGGATTCCTACATGGCCATCCATGGTTCAAGACCCGGACCTGTTAGCTTGAAAATCACTCTGAGCGCGTGTGTGTGCATGCCCAAGATCCCAGGAGGAGAATGGAGGAGAAGGGATTATGGCATGGCTATCCACCCCACCCCACCCCCTGTTGTGATTTCTCATTTTCTGTGTCATTATCTCTGTCTCTCACTCTCTCTGGTGAGAACATGTGCCCTATGGTAAAAAACCTCTTTAAAAAAAAAAAAAGAAACTGGACTGCACCAAGTAGATTGTTTGTGGAGGATAATAGACATTTGATGAAGCAGTGGTGGAAGAAGCAGATTTAATTCTGAGGTCTCTTCCAAGACAGTTTGTTCAGTCCCCTGAGTGTCAGGTAGTACAGGTATGAAAATAAGTCATGAAGTGCCATGATTAGGTAGGTGTCATAGAAAACATAGAAAGAGGATCTATGCTCAGCCTTCAGGAAGAAGGAGCTATTTCAAGAAAACTCATTTGCAAAAGTGACCTTTGACATATGAGTGGAAATAGGATACATTCTAGGGAATTTTAGGTCATTTAGCATGATTGGAACGTGGGAGTTGATGGTGGAGGGTTGTAGACAGCATTGAATTGTGTTAGAATTTTATCTTCAATCCTGTGATGACTAGTTACTGATTTAAAAATGAGGGTTTGGGGACCAGCAGATGGCATAATGATTACATTGCTGGACTCCCACATAGTCAACCACAGTTTGAGTCCTGGACTTGGCGGCTTAAAACTCATGCTGAGTGCATGTGTATACCTGCTTAGAATCCGAAAAGGAGAATGGAAGTGAAGGGATTGCGGTGTGGCCATTCCCCCAGGTGGTAATTTTTCATATTCTGTCTCTGTCTCTCTCTCCAGCGAACACATGCACCCTTTAGCAGAAGTCTCTCTCAAAAATTTTTTTGAAAATTGGAACCAGCAGCTGGCATAATGGCTATGTTGCTGGACTTCCATGTAGCCGATTGCAGTTAGAGTCCTGGACCCAATGGCTTAAACTCACTGGGCGCATGGGTGTGTGTGCCCAAGGTCCTGGGAGAAAGGATTATGGTGTGGCCATCCTCCCTGGGAGGTTATTTTTCACTTTCTGTCTCTCTGTCTTTATCTTTCTGGTGAGTGCATGTGCCCTATAGCTAAAACCTCTTCCAAAAATTTTTTCTTTTTAATAAAATAATTTGGGGAGCATGATTAGTTGGAAGAGTGATATGTTTCAATTTACATTTTAGTAAGATTTTCCTGGTTATAGTTTGTGTGATATCAACAGGAAGATCGCACTGAGGTGGATCAACTAGATTTTTGTCTCAACTTAGATGAGAAATTAGGACCTTAATTAAAAAAGTGACTTCAGGGATCAGGAGTAATGACTAGATTTGAGAAGAATCTGAATATAGAACCAACATGACTGACCAAGTGTAGCATTTGGAAGATTCTAGGCTGTGTCAGGTGTTCAGTTCAGTGAGGCCTATATATATAAACCATGCCCCATTTCAAGGGGGTGGGTATATGGACCATCTAGGTAGAGATGGCATAAAGGCGCCTGGGTATTCAGATCGACAACTCATTAGAGTGGCCTGGACTAGAACAGAACTGAGAGATGTCAGCATGCAAATCGTAGTGAAAGCCCTGTAGGCCAATTTCCTAGAGTTTTATACAGTGGAATGAAACTTTGGACATCTCTTAATTTTCTTCAATTATCTGAGTAATATGAATACATCTTAATGAAACATTTAAACAACAGTTTTACAGAGTGAAAGGTTGGTATTATTCTTCGTACTTCAGTACCTCTAACTACCCAGAAGTACCTAAAATTGACAGTTGTGGGTCTTCTGTGCGTTCACATACATATTTAGGGACAGGAGAAGGAACCTCATGTGTGGGAGGAGTAAGCAGAGAAGTAGAATGCCAAACCCTAGAGAATGGTGGCACAGTTGCCAAGGGGGTTGCAGAGGAGGAAGTGTCAATGGAGCAAATTGAGGACACAGGTGCCAGTTGATTTGGTTCTTCTACCATCTGTTAACTTAGAGCCATTTGAATGATGTGGGGAGTGAGTAGAAGCTGAGGTGGATGATGGCACATTTGAAAAAGTTGTGAAGGGATGGATGAGTAAGGTCAAAAGGGTCTTAAAAAAATCAAGTCATTATTACAGAGTGTCATTGTGCCGCACTTTTTCAGTTCATTCATCTGTGGCGGAGGGGTAGAGAAAGGGAATCAAGGGGGAAAAGAAAGAAGCAAAACATTTAAGAAACACAAAATGGAAAATTATCTGTTGATAATATGTATGGTAACATCTTTGATTGAGCCAATGTACAGTGTATTTGAATAGGAAAATTCATTTTGTATGCTGTAATGATACACAGTGATTGATTGTAAAATAAAAATTTTCGGGAACCAGTGGTTAGCGTAATGGCTATGTCGCTGGACTCCCACACACCCTGGACCTGGTGGCTTAAAACTCACGCCGGGTGCGTGTACGTGCGTGCCCAAGATCCCGAGAGGAGAATGGAGGAGACGGGATTGTGGCGTGACCATCCCCTCTGGGGGGTGATTTCTCGCTTTCTGTCTTTATGTCTCTGTCTGTCTGGCGAGCGCACGCGCCCTATAGCGAAAAATCTCTCCCCCCCAAAATAAATAAATAAATAAATAAAAACTTTCAAGTTATAAAAAGACTAGAATAATATTTTTAATAGAGATTTTTGCTATAGGACATGTGCACTTGCTGGAGAGACACAGAGAAACAGACAAAGTGAGAAATCACCCCCCGCTTGGGGGATTGGTCACACTGCAATCCCTTCTCTTCTGTTCTCTCAGAATTTTGGGCAGGCACACACATGTGCCTGATGTAAGTTTCAAACCACTAGGTCTGGGATTTGAACTGCATGGCTGACTATGTGAGAGTTCAGTGACATAACCACACCATCTGCGGTTCCAAGACTACAATAATTTAAAAATAAAGAAATTAATTGAAACTGCCGGGGTCCAGCCTCGGCGGGGGTGGGTTGACTCATCGGAGGTGACGCTGGAAAAGAAGAAGACTGAGGCCTCGGTGCCTTATTCATGCACGTCCTTAGCTGGACACCCCCAGAGATTGCTCTCTGAGGAGTGATAACTGCTAGGAATCATCATGCGTTTTTATTGAAAATGTGATACTTGCAAGTAAACGGGAGAGGGGCTACGTGTTTCAATTATTAGCTCATAAAGTTTTAACAATAGAGAACATAGATTCTATTTAGGGTTGGATTAAGGGTGGGTCTAGTGCAGTTCCGCAATTGTTCGTTTGGTGTAGGTGGGTCTTCATGGAATGCAGTTTCGGGAAAGGGTTCCAGCAAGCAGAGATGATTATCAGCTGATGCGGCGCAGCAGCCATCTCGTGATTACCGGGAATGGTGCTGAGAAAAGAAAATCTCAAGTGTAGATATTAGGTCTTATGGATCTTTATAAAGAATGATACTTATATAATTTTATAGGGATCTAAAACTTAATTTAAGGAATCCTAATATATTTATCTATTTCACTTGGTGAGGGTGGGGGTGTCCTGGGCCAGTTTGGGCCTAATCCTATTTTAGGTAAAGAAAAGATTATGTTAAATGTATCTTGAAGGGCCTTCCAAAGGTCAAGATTATTTCTGCCTAGATAGAACTTCAGCCCACCCTCTATTGTGACCGCGAAGATAAAGCATTGTAATTAACAGTAGGTGATCAGGGCCGAGGGGAGTGGTCAGGGGACTTTTGGGAAAATCTCATCACATACTCAAGAGAGCTATGTAATTTTTTATAGTATATCAAGGAGTCAGAGGGGGGCCGCTTCCCAGCAAGGCTACCACAGTTTTCTGGAGCAAGTAG